TTAATGTCACAGAAGGTTTGGAGCTTTGCAGTTAGTGAATAAGAAGAATGTTAGCATCCTTCATGCATTCAGCGACACTCCTCTGTAACTTTGCGTGATCTGACACTTTGCAGCCGAGTTGCTGTGGATTCCAAGCAAAGAAATTTCACAAACTGACTTGCTTTTTGTACTCGATGAAGGTCAGTAAGACCATAATGTTGTGATTCGATAAAATAATGGTTTGTGAGACAGTTTTGGGAGGAATTCAGGGAGCTCTTTAGAACGACCCATTTTTTCACAAATGTCTGTAAATGCAGACAATGGGACTTTAGTCCATATATCTGCAGAGCTTGGAATAGAAGTCGCGTAGCTCGTCACGGTTCATCTAGCAAAACACAAAAAAACACATTTGTTCTGTTTTCTGCTCTGTTTTGTTTCATTTCTAGTTTTCTTTTGCCCCTCTGTGGCTGAAGATGACAGTCAGTAAGGGCCCAGCCATTTCTTTCTTGAGGCGCAATGTTCAACAACTGAGGCTTTGTTGGTCAAGGGGCCGCTATCTACCAGTGTTGCTGGGGAAATGGCTAATTCGAGCCTTGTGACTGGCGATTTATAACAATCTCAGCCCCTTTCTCTCTATTTTGTTGTCTCTTCTTTTGAACCCGTCTGTGGCCTGAAGGCTATAGGCCAAGACTAGAGGAGGGCGGGGGGACTGGAGAGCCAAAACACTCCCTATAAAATGTGGCTCCCTTCCAGCAAAGCATTCTGGGAGGGCATCACTGTAAGCATAGCACAGAAAGCCAGTCAGTCTCCCAGGAGATGAGCGTTGTGCCCATCAGAGCCGGACAAAGCGGCATACATGCTATATAAATGAAGTTTGGAGATAGCCGAAAGCCAGGTGTTTGCAACGCTGTTCTTTAAACATGTGCAGTTCCAAAGCAACTACCAAGTAATTGCATGCATCTCTTTCTTTCAGCGAGGTTTTGTGGGGAGACACACCCACCCTCTGGGATGGCGGTCCAGCTCGTTGAGGACGGTGTGATCGCAGTACTCGAAGACCAGGTGAAGCTTCCGTTTGCGTCGAAACACTTCGATCAGATTCACCAGGTTGGAGTGTTTCAGTTGCTGCACAGACAGAAAACAGAAATCCCAAACAGACATTACAAGCAGAATCTGCTGCACAGAGGAGTGGCTCATCAGTCTCTGTCTGTATCTCAAACACACTAAACTGTTAAGAGAGGGTAATAAACATGCTGTTGCCCCTGACAACCTGTCCTATTTATGAGCTCCTGATGTCCAGCAAGCCTCCAGCGCTCCCACCCACTGCATGACTAATTAAACCACCAACAAACGCATCGGTACATCTTTGATAAATATGTACATCGTTAACAAAACACATGACTTGACCACAACTGAGCCTAAGCTTCCAATTTACAGCCTAAGAAAGATATTCAACTCGTGCCAGAGGCTTTTTTAAAAGATAACTCAATGTTCACAGACATTTCACACGGCAACTGAAATACTGGAGTCAGCTCTGACCCTGCAGGGTTTTGCCTTCATTTGATTACAGCCCTCTAAACCTTTTCTCAAGTTTGCTGGTTTGAAAGCGAAGTGTTTCCCCTCTGTCTGCAGAATGAATTGCACCGTGTCCCTCCCGCTGGCGGCACAGGAGGAGGAACGCTTTACATTTCCTTGCATTAAAAACAAGATTTAAATCCTCTAAAGACTGAGTTAAAGTTTCAAAACAATAGTTTGGCTGAGAGTTATGA